AGGGTCAGGGTTGTACAAGGGACGTGTTATTGACAAATTGTTCTGGTCTGATTGTGTGTTCCAGATTTGTTTTTTGGCACAGAAAAACTGCTGCTTCATCATTTGTGACAACCCTAAGTGACTTTTATATATGAATTACCTAAGAATCTTCATGTACGTGATTTAATAACTAAAGACAATGCCAGACACCCAATAAACTACCATCATAATAAAAGGAAGTAACCCAATTAGTGAGATGACAGTTCAACGAACTTACATAAAGGTCAGGGTTGTACAAAGGATGTATTATTGAGAAATTGTCCTAGTCTGATTGCTAGATACATAAAAATGATAAGAAACATTAATTAATTGGCAATTAACCTTATGTGAGCAAAGGTCGTGTTCGTCTTTCATAAATAAAGTTATTTAGGTGAGAGTTATTGTAAACGTGAGTACGGAATATTCGTAGTCAATAAAATTTCTATGAATTATCTGTTTTCTTCGTTTGCCTTTAATACTTAATAGAAGTATTACTAATATTTTTTTATTTTTTTATAATATACACTTATTTATTTAATTATACTTTACTGTACACAAACAATTACATACATATAATTTATGTTAAATAAAGATGTACAACAGGCGAGCTTCACTCTGTAATAATTCCCTCCCATTAAAACCTGAGTAGAAAGGAGCATTAATTACCAGCGTGCAGTGTGCGTACAATAGAAAAAGGAAACAGTATAGTTGTTTCTATTAAGAAATAATAAATATGATTACATATATACAAAATAACATATAATTTACATTCAAAATACATACATATCTGTACATAATAATACACATAACATATATACATTATCTCTTCATACATAAAATACGTACATATACATACACAGACATAATAAGTTTTTAAGGGCAGAAGATGCCAGGGTCGGACTGAGCCGGAAGGGCCCTGATGATGATAGTTGCACCAGATGATAGCGACACCGCAAGCCACGCAAGCCAAGCCTGTGGAGAGCCCACACAGGCTGGGATCTGGCTGGCAAATGCCACCGACTACATATCCAGTCCGACTCTGTAAGAAGCTCTTTTAATCTATTCTTGAACATATTCAGCAATTGACTTTCGCGCATATGTAATGGAAGAGAGTTCCATTTACATTTACGATAATTATATTAACACTAGGTGTTCACTTTAGATGTAATAGTTACATGGCAACATTCTCGATAATTCATAAAAATATTTTATTCTTATATGTGGCAATTAATAATTTTAATTGGAGGTAGTAAGATAAAAAAAGTGGTAGGTATCTGCTCTTAAATACAGAAACAGAACAGTTTGTCGTTGTCGTTCTTAAAATATTTAATAAGTAAAAGATTTAATTTCACAATCGTGAGACTTTAATTTAAGAATTTAATATTTTTAAAAACATAATTTGTCGTGTTGTTAAAAAGACGTTTTCAAGATTGAAACGTCTATCGAAGGATTCAAGATCGAAACCCTTAGTTCTTATAACATTTACGAGGTAATCTCAGGTAATTTTAGCATGCTTTAAGAAACTGAGTGATCTGAGTATGTTAGAAAAGGAATTTACGCTAATCAAAGGGTAAGTCACTTGAACTAAGTTTGAATCTAGGTAGTTTAGTAGTACTTTTAAAACAATTTGTCGGTTTTCGCATTCACGGATCTATATAAACAACTTGTGCAGTTTACTCATTTTAATTTTTAATATAGATACATAGATAGTACTAAAATATGTGATATATATTTTAATTATAAAAAATTTTCCATACTTATCTTAGTCATTTACTCCGATAAAATATTGTTGTGTAAAATATTAAATAGATACATGTTAAATATAATACACATCCAAATTCAGTATTAATTTAATAAGACGTATAGCCTGTATTTACCATTTGGTCCCGGCATAAAATGGACCGCCCTTTCCTTCCCGTGGGTGTCGTAAGAGGCGACTAAGGAAACTTAATAGTCGAGATATGGGCTGCAGCGTCCCTCTTAAAACTTTGCCAAAGCCTAACTGCGGTTGCCAACTTTCTTACCAAACATAGCAACTATTGGCAAAATTCCCCGTACGGAGGAGGCTTATATCAGTAGTAGAAGTTAAAAGCTGATACTTAAATTATATAGATAGAGTGTCTCCACAGAAATACTTCGAAAAACGGGTCAACTTTTTCATACAATTTTGCGAGATAAATAGTTATGTTTCCTTTATAACTTCTATATTTATTTTGTCCTATAAATTTTGCATCTTTTTAATGTGTAAACACTAATTTTATTCATTAAATAATATGACTAGATACATTTTATGTGTAAATATACAAAACACTGATAAAAAACGTTTTTTTTTAATTGTCAAATTAGCTGACAAAAAGTTGAACCGTTTTTGAGGCTCGATGCTCTATCTATAATCTAAGAATGAATATTTTATGTAATATTGTCTTGTAATCTTTTGTATTTATAATAAGTTTATTATTATTATCTCATGGAGGAAACAATAAAGAATAAATAAATATATATTCTAAGGAAGAATCTAAGGGTATTATTAGCATATTGATATAATGATGATAACCTGTATTTGCCTTATTCGCATAAAGACAATATTTATCCAATTGGTATACAGTGCTGTTATGAACAGCACTATCATTACCACCTTGAACACTGCAGAATGCACTGTTTTGCACATGGTGCCCCTCATTAACGAGTATATCGTGCATCGCTATTTATTTAAATAACTATATTAACCAGAGGGAGACATTGTACAAAAGTCGTTTGCTTGGGCACCTCTATCCCATTCGTGTTTCTATCGTGAAGCAGTTGTGTTTGCATGGCTGTGTTTCGGTTTGAATGGTGGGATATGGCAGTGAATTTACAGGGTCTATAGGCGACAGTTACCACTTTCCATCAGGCGGGTCGTCAACTTGTTTACCATTCTAAGTTGCATGAAAGAAACCAAAATAAAATAAGGTACAAAAGGTGAATTTTAAGATTATTAAGATTGTTTCTGTTAAGATTTAAGATTTTATGACTCCATACCCTGTAATTTCACGGTAATAAGCCTTTCAAATCGAAATAAACAAATTACAATATGTGCCACGCAAATACTGTAAGTATTATCAAAATCTATTAAGATTTGTCGAACAGCCAGATAGAGGAATTGTAAAACAATTTTGTTTAGTCTAAAAGCCTTTATTTGTGTACCTAATTATCTACTTATAAATTTTAAACTTATCAAATTCTCTCTAAACAGTATACACTCTTATGGTGTTATTAAAAAAACCAATAAAACTATTCAGATTGTATCGAATCGAAATTAAATCAGTTTTAAAAATCTAGTCAAAATTTCGAGATTACACAATGATCGAATTGTTTTATTATACAATTCGAAAACTGAAAGTGTCCGTCTCGTCAAACAAACAGAAAAAATTTCATCTGTTTTCTAAACTACTCCAAAAAAGACGAGATTCTCAGTTTGTCTTAATTTTGTTAGTTTTATGTGCATGTTACGCGATTATTAACTAAGAGTAAATACTTTCTAATCGTTAAGTAAACAATTCTTATTTTAAAAAGATAAAAAAAAAATTAATGAATTCCGAGACAGTTTGAGTTTTAAAATTTTGGATTTTAGAACGTGTAATCGCATCTACGAACAAATTTTGTTTCGTGACAAACAATTTCTTGCACCTAGAAAATTAATTAAAATTAATATGCTACCAATACGAAAGTGAACCTTTCAATTTCAATTTAAAATTACTCATTAAAATTGGTTAAAAATTGACCAAAAACATTGCAAAACATATTTAATAAATCAAATGGAAACCTCCCTTTTCTTTAAAGTGGTACAAGTTGGACAAAGTGGTACTATTGGCCTAAATTATATAGATAGAACATCAAGTATCGAAACGTGTCAAAATTGCTCAACTAATTTAACATTTGGGTGACAATTTGTTTTTAGTAACGATTGCAACCATTATTATTGCACTGTTTATCTTGTTCTTTCAATTATATCCATAACAATTTTGTATCATTTTTTTTTTCTATTTTAATATAATATTTTCTCCCACACATTTAATATTAGATGTGATATAATTACCCAATTTACGCACACATAGATAAAAGGGTTAACCTGTTTTTAGCGTAATATTTGTATTGAGACACTCTTTGTATATAATCTAAGCATTAGACTTAATGTAAATTACAATATATGTACGTACTCAACAAGATTACCTAAGGCACAGATTACCTGAACATAGATCTAAATTTACTTTCTGGGCTTTTTAGTATGCAAAGACAACGATCACTAAGTAATTAGATGTTAGCGATTAAGTAAATACAATCAAGATATTGCAAACTCAATATTAATTATCGCGGTTTAGGTATTTAGTATAGTTTGATTACGGTAACTTTTAATTATTTTTTAAGCGATTTTAAAAGGAGAATACTTTTATACCGTGTATGTAATTAAATGAAATTAAAAATTCACTTTTTAAGTGACCTAATAAAATCGTATATATTTTCGTATATGTTACAAAACATCTACATTAATTTAATATAGATTTTAATAATTATTTTTATTATATCGATAAGGTATACTTCTCCGTTTACTCATATTTATTTTATTATTATTAAATTATCTGTTTTACCAGATAGACATTCAATGATCGATTTGGGCATCCTCACAGCCAATCACAAGTTACACATATACAAAATATCGAAGAACGATATGGCAGTAATATAGTTTTATGATACGAGAAATAAAAATTAAAAGATGACCTTGAAATCCCGTACACGTAAATTAAATGTATTATAATCTCCATTAGATGAAATGAAATCAAATTCGTTCTAATAAAAGAGTCAGGGAATGTCATCTGCATTCCTCGACTCTCTGCAACATATTTCTAAGATTGCTCCACTTAGCTGTCTATGAAAGAAACATATATTCAGCAATAAATAGCAACACAAACGAAGATAAAGAATGTAAAATGAAATGGTATAAATACCTTCCACTTTTTGACTTCAGACAAACGATTTGCGATCACACATCCAGCTGAGCCCGCGCCAACCACTATGAAATCATATTCTTCAATGGCCTGCCTCTTCTTCCTGTTTTTCCTTTTAATTTTCTCAGTCACTGTTACTGTCTTTGAATCCGCTGTATTAGAGTCCAATAAACCGCTTCGCCCGATCAGATTATAGTCGAAAATTGGGGGTGTTGATTCAAAGTTCGAAAACAAATTCGCACTTAATGTATTAGGCTTTTGAGACGTATTGTAATTGAAACTCGGTCCATGATTAATTTTAAAAGTTGTTTCTGAAATACCGTAACTACCATTCGGGCCGAATGAGTGTGCGGTAGTTTTGTGTCCATTGTTTGGTTCTTTAAAATTAGTTAACGAAGGCCCAAAATCAGGGAACGTTTTGAAGTCTACATTCGGTTTAATAGGTGATCCCAAAGGAATCTGTTCCCCTAAAGCCGGAGTCCCGAATGGCGGTGCTGTCAAACTTTGCTCTTGATTGTCAATGCCCGTTGTTTTCCCGTCCGAATAAGGATCAATATTTGGATAAGAGAATTGATTATCGACGGAATTCCCAAATAACTGGGTCACTAAGGCCAAAAACATGAAGCCGGTTTGCGAGCATTGCGTTAATGGGGCGATTTGGTTTGGACACACACTAGCTATATCCGCGGGCTGCCATACCGTTGCCATTTTCAAATCACTGTCACTAAATTCGATCGCTGAACGCAATCATACGATATTCACTCGCACAATGCCCGGTGTGTCGGCGTCGAACGGTGCAGAAACAATGATCGTGGTTCACTGAATGCTTGCGTGTCTTAAGTTAACCTAACCGCAGTTTCCGCTTACTTGCTAGTTACGACTGAAATTCACATAATTAAAATATATTAACACTTTTCCTGATCGATGAGTTGCCTTCGGTCCATTTAGTTCCGTAAAATATTAGATTCCAAATGAAGGTTGCCGTATCGTAACAGATTGTGAATATAATTTATTAAATAATTATTTTATTAAATTGATTATTTTATTGAATGTAATCATTTGTTTGGAAATATAAAATATTACGCATTGAAGCATAATAATTTGTTTTGATCGAACTATTTAAAATTCCAAATATTGAAAAGATGCCTAATATTTTCAGGTGTTTGCATGTTTGGCATATTTGTTCAAGTGCTTGTATGTTTGACATATTTGGCATACTTAGCATGTATAGCAAAAAAAAAAATATTAAATCTAATTAGTGAAATACATTAGTATATTTCTTTTTTGTAATCCTAACATCACAGAAAACCCTTCATTATCGTCATTTATAAAAAAAAATATATTATTAAGAAAAAAAAAACACTAAAAAGTATTATTTCATGAAGACGTACAATGTTAAAAAGATATTATTTTTGTTTGCAATTGCAATTTGCAAATACTCAGTTGTGTTTGCATAGCTGTGTTTCGGTTTGAACACCTGAGTCCTCAGGAATGGCAACGCATGAGGGGTATTAAGGGCGAAACTGTATACTCTGTTATGTCCATGGTACTGCTCATGTCTATAGGCGACGGTTACCACTTTCCATCAGGTGGGCCGTCAGCTTGTTTGCCATTCTAAGTTGTATAAAAAAAAACTCAAAAATAATACTTAAGGAATTATTAAAAAGAAGTTTAACAATTATATTTATTTTATTGTTATAATTTTTTTTTTTTCTATTTCATTATACATTTTACAAAAAAAAAAATACATAGTCGGGGCGAAACCTGCATTACAAATTTGGTTAAAATTACTCATTTTCAAATTAGTTCAATTCACCAATTTAACCAAACCGGTTGTCCTTATCATATTTTTAAAGAATTTTCGTTTTCTTTCTTTAATTAATTCTGTGTAAATTACGAGTGTCTGTTATTATTAAGTACCTATTTACATAACAAAAATGATAGACTCTTGTTATTTTTTTTGTCTAATTAATGAATGAGCGATTGAATATATCATCATCATCATCGTCATTTCAGCGATTATCCGTCCACTGCTGGACATAAGCCTTCCCCATAGACTGCCATAAAGATCGGTCCTTAGCCACCTACATCCACTGACTCCTTGCAATGCATTACAGGTCGTTACTCCATCTAGTGGGGGGTCGTCCTACACTGTGTTTGCCCGTACGCGTTTACCACTCAGGAACCTTTTTTCCGAAATGAATTGAATATATAATTTAATCAAAATAATGAATGTGAAATGAGAGCCAAATTCAATATTACGAATATACATCGTTTCGACTTCTATATTGTAATGGATAAAGTCAAACATTACTATATAAATTTTAATACCTTTTTAATACCTTTACATCACATTATTTTTTAAATAATCGTTGTGGTTAATTATTAACATAATAATAATGGTTGACTGGGAGAGATTGCTTTTAGAATTAAATCCGCCATGTACACATATTTGTACTAATGAATAAATAATTAAAAATAAATAAATAATTTTAATATTTTCTACTACTGCTTCGATTCATGAACATACTAGCTTTTACCTACGACCTCGTCCGCGTGACCAGAATATGTTTACTAACTGGCATAAAAATTAACCTACATCCTTCTACATCCCATATGATACATGTATAACAACAAACAAACAACAACAAACAAACAAACAAATTCACTTTCACATTTATAATTTTACTTTAAATTACTTCATTAATATATATTATTTATCGGTTACATTTAAAAGTAGAATTATTTGCTATTTCCTAAAGGAAACATAAAATAATACGTTAAAATATATTAATAGTTATATTTCGTGACCATAACTGTTACTAACGAGAATAATAAAATATAATAACAAATAACTAACGGAAATAAAATTATAAAAAAAAATATATCCTGTCAAAATATCTTGTACGCTAACTGAAATCTGAAACTGAAGTTCCCGGCATAGAATGGGCCAATCCTTCCTTTTCCGTGGATGTCGTAAGAAGCGACTAAGGGAATTTAATGATCGGGGGATGGGCAGCAGCGTCTTTCGAAAAATATCACCAAAACTGAATTGCAGTTGTCACTCCGTCTACCAAGTGCGGCAATTGATGCACACGCATGAAGAAAAAAAAATTTTATTATGCATTCTGATTTCGTTTTTGGTTTTTTTTTTTTAATCTTTTATACATGTATCTTTTTTTATCTTTTTTCACTTTGCTTTTGTATCTTTTGCTGTTTGTATGCTGTAAGTGATGCAAATAAATTATCTATCTATCTATCTATCAATTACTAGCAAAAACCCCTCAATAATAAGAGGTGTGTGTTCAGTTATGGATAGTTAGCGGATGATATGATGATAACAAACTAAAATCCTTACTAATATTATAAATAAGAAGTGAATTTATATATTATTTTGATGCCTCGACAGCTAAACTAATTACTATTATGTTTGGTATACAAAAACTATATGCTACTTATTACATAACATAGGCTGTTTTTTATGACAGTCAGTGATCACATCCAAAAAACTTATCATGAAATATTTTTCAAAATTTCAGAACGGAACTATACACAAAATTGATATTGAAACTACATGATATGTTTAAAAATATAAAAAAAATATCGTTACCTTTTGTTGTAGGATTTACGACGAACGAAATATTACGAGCTCCATTTTCTGGATCGATTTCGGTATGAACAAAAACACGAAACTGAGTCCGAAAATTTGAAATTTCATTTTTATAAATACATTTTTATGAGGGAACATTAAAACCCAAACTGCGTTATCGGTATTCGCTAGCGGTGAATTAATAAGGGATGAATTAATAATTATTTCTAAGTCAGTTCCAAATATTAAATGTATGTTAAACTTCATGACAGTCATCAGAGGTTACTATTCCATTTTCAATCCATTAAGAAAATAGGATAAGTATGCAGTGGTAATAATCCCTCTTGAACTATCAGTATACACTACCGGGGTACCAGTGGTGAAGGATAGGTGAAGATAAAGTCAGGCCAGTTGTTCTACCAAACGAGGACCGCATAAAAATTTACCTGTCAGGTTATATTACTAGCGACAGGGCAAACTCTCTTTCCCCCTTGACTGTTGGTTGACCTAATGGGTCACGCCACGCCGGACACGCCTACGTAACAACAATAAACACACTGTCAAATTTATAACATTAATAAAATATAATTCGACTGCAGAATAGTCAGTCGTGTGTAAAATTTAATCCTCCAAAGGAGTTTGGGACCTGGGATTAGATTTAATTTGGACTTTGTTTCGTTAAATGGGAGTCTAATTTCCACGGGTAAGCTGTTTACTCTGGGAACTACAAATTTATACGTAGCTAATTGCCGCCGTATCGTGTTAATGAGATATTAGTGAGCTCTTATTTGCATGATGGTAAAAACCAAAAGATTACAGTGAGATATTTCAACAAACTTCTAATACAGAAAGAGTTGTAGTTACTATATACATATAATATGTGCGTTATTACATTTACCTTTATTTGTTATATTATATTTCTGTATTTTCAATTTTATTATTTAATTTTTTATCTATTTCATTCTTTTTTTATATACAACTTAGAATGGCAAACAAGCTGACAGCCCACCTGATAGAAAGTGATAACCGTTGCCTATAGATATGAGCAGTACCATAGACATAACAGAGTATACTGTTTCGCCCATGATACCTCCCATGCGTTGCCATTCCTAAGGACTCAAATGTTATTCCTCTGTACCCAGTAAATTCACGCCATATCCCCCCCTTCAAACCGAAACACAGCCATGCAAACACAACTGCTTCACGGTGGAAACAAGAATGTGACAGAGGTACCCAAGCAATCGACTTTTGTACAAAATCTCCCTCTGGTCTCCATCTAGAAAAGAAAACACAGATAGGTTATAAATCATAAAACAATTTACCAGAAGGAGACTTTGTACAAAGGTCGTTTACTTGGGTACCTCTGTCCCATTCGTGTTTCAACCGTAAAGCAGTTTTGTTTGTTGTGGTTGTATTTCGGTTTGAAGGGTGGGATATGGCATTAAATTTACAGGGTACAGGGGCATAACATCGTAGTTTTCAGGAATGGCAACGCATAGAGAGTATCATGGGATAATACAGTATAATCTGTTATGTCTATAGTACTACCGACTTCCAAAAAAAAGATTGATTGAGACGTATATAATATTACAAACGCCATTTATTCTGAACAGATTTTATTAATTTTTTTTATCAATAATATTCTTGATTAAAAGTTAACTCTACTACATATTTAGAAGCAATAGGAAACAAATATAAAAATACAATAAATTTTCTAATGACTTCAATGTCTGGAAGGTAGTCGTTATAGTATAGACATTAGTTGACATTTACCATCATGGTGAACGTATTACTCGAGATGCCCATATTTCGCGAGCACATTAGAATTCTACGTAGCAAAAAGGAAATTTATCTGCCAACATTTGAATTAATTCAGTTAGTGGTATTTACTATTATCAAAAAATATTTGCGAAAGTAAAATATAAAATCATAATCAAAGATATTGGTTTTTTTATTATTATATCAGTCGTTTACTGTCCACTGCTGAACATAGATCTCCTCCTATTAGGGTATTTTGCTAATAATTGCCACGCTTGGCAAGCGTATTGCCAACCGCAGTTAAAAGCATTTTAAAAGGGATGCAAAATATCGCTCGACCATTAAGTTCTCTTAGACTTCTCTTACGATACCAACGGGAAAGGAAGGGGTGGTCCATTCTATGCCGAAACCACAAGGCAAAATTTTAATGCCAGAATAGAATTCTTAACTTCCAG